AAATGGCTAGAAAAAAAAAAAAAAAAAAAAAAACCCAACTGTGCTTAAACTGTAAAATAGGAATTCACAACTTTAAAAAGTCAGAACAACATATTTTTTAAAACATCCTTTCCCTCCTATACTCACCACCTCCCAAGTACCTCACATTATTTTTTGAAAGTGCCATCATCATAGAGTTCAAAGAATTTACCAATGGAAGACTATTATAAGACTATATACATAGTTTTATGCAAAATTAAAGTGATAGTCATCACTATTTCCTGAAACTTAATCACACACATACACAAACATGTACACATGCACACACATCCTTGGATGGACAAAATGGTACAAAAGAATGCCAACTTACATAGTAAAGGATGCCAGAGTTCCTTCAGGATAATGGTTTTCAAATTGCAGGCTTGAAATCAATCTAGTATACCCACATGAGCATTTTCTTAAAAATGGAATAGAGTGGAGTGGAACGGAATGAATAACTCTAGGTACAATGTTTGATAAAATCCTAACTTTAGGATTCTGACAGCATAAGAAATCTTGGGGAGGGGAAGCTGTGGGCATATGTGCAAGTATGGAGACGACAGACCATTAATGAAGAGCTGAGACGACTGGAGAACCAGCATGCTGGGGTGTGGCAATTGAGAATAACCCTGATCTAATATAACTATAAAAAAAATGAGTGCTCCTTTGAAACAATAATTCTTCTTCTAGAAATTTACTTAAGGAGATGCTTAAGGTGTATGCATACATTTCCCCTACTCATGTTCTCACTGAATTGTATTTATAAAGAGGAATGGTGGAAACAGAATGTCCAAAATATAAGGGATTTTATTGGTTCCCACAATAAAATCTATACATTCCAATACTATTCAGTCATCTAAGATGTTGATTGAGCCCAGCCAGTGTCGCTCATTAGTTGAGCATCGACCTATGAGCCAGAAGGTCACAGTTCAACTGCTAGGCAGGGCATATGCCTGGGTTGCAAGCTCAGTCCTCAGCAGGGGATTCTCATCATTAAAGTTTCTATCTTTTTCTCCTCCCTTTTTCTCTGAAATAAATAAACGTGTATTTTAAAAAATAAAATGTTGATTGAAAATATACATGTATTAAAGAATGTTCATGATTATTAAATGAAATAAACAGCTTACAAAACCATATATAGTGTTCCCTCTTAATCCATGGAGGATACATTCCAAGACACCCAGTGGAGGCCTGAAATCGAGGACAGTACTGAACCCTATATATACTGGGCTTTTTTCTATACATACCTACCAATGATAAATTTTAATTTAAAAATCAGCCAAAACCAGTTTGGCTCAGTAGATAGAGCATCAGCCTGCGGACTGAAAGGTCCCAGGTTTGATTCCAGAAAAGGGCATGTACCTTGGTTGCGGGCACATCCCCAGTAGGGGGTGTGCAAGAGGCAGCTGATTGATGATTTTCTCTCATAGATGTTTCTAACTCTCTATCCCTCTCTCTTCCTCTCTGTAAAAAATCAATAAAATGTATTTTTTAAATAAAATAAAATAAAAATTAGACACAGAAAGAGATTAATAACAAAAACTAATACTAAAACAATTATAACAATACTAGAAGCTCGATACATGAAGATTCATGCAAGAATGGTCCTTCCTTTGCTGGCACCACCTTTGCTCTGGCTGGAGCTGCTTTCCACCTTCCCACACTGCCCAGAAGCCCAGAGCAGCTGGGGTGGTGTGGGATGCATACCACCCCCTCAACCCCCACTGCTTGGTACCTGTATATGCAAATTAACACACCATCCTCTTTGGATTAATTTGCATACTCACTCCTGATTGGCTGGTGGGAACAAAGGTATGGTCAATTAGCATGTTATTCTTTTACTAGGTAATGAAAGTCATGTGAATGTAATCTCACTCAAAATATTTTATGTACTACTAGAGGCCCAGATTCATGCATGGGTGGGGTCCCTCAGTCTAGCCTGTGCCCTCTCACAATTGGGGACTCCTGGGGTGATGATGGACTGCAGGGTTTCAGCCTGATCCCTGTCTGTGGCCAAAGTGGCCGGTGGCTGGGGAGGAGCCAGGGGCCAGGCACAGCTCCACTGCTGCTCTTCTTGACCGGTTGACTGGTCTTATAGTCGTTCATCGTAACAGTCACTTAGATTTTAGATAGATAGATAGATAGATACTCACCCTTTCTCTTCTTGTGATGATGTAAGATGAGGCAGTGCCCACAAGATGAGATGAAGTGAGGTGGATGATGTTGGCATTGTAACATAGTGTTGGGGCTACTACTGACTTTCGGACAATAGAGGTTCCTTGAACACAAGCACTGTGATACCGTGTACACAGCTAGAGACACCAGACCAAGGAATGGTTCACATCATGAGCAAGACGGAGAAGAAAGATAAGATTTTATCACAATATCCACCATAACATCTGAGATAAAACTTATGGACTATTTCTGGAATTTTTCCATTTTTAATATTTTCAGACTGTGGTTGACCATGGGTACCATAACTGAAAACATACACAGCAAAACTGAGAGTAAGGGGGAACTACTGTTGTAGAAGTCTACACTTTGGTTGTATAAATATAAACATGGGAAAAGACCTAGGAAGCACATCAAATGAGTGAAATCCCTGGGTGGTAGAATTATGAATGGCCTAATTTGTTGCAGGGTTGTTGTTGTTTGTTTTGTTTTGTTTTTGCCTATATGTACATTTCATTCTGTCTCCAGTGAACTTTTATGGATTTTTCAATAGAAAAAAAATATGTATTTCAAATTCATTAAAAGCCTCTCAGAGCAGTTGCACTCGTGCACTTGAAGCTAAAATCAGGCAAGCTGTTAGGGAGAGCACAGATAATGAGAAAGCCCAGGGAGTGGACTCTCTTTTTAGAACCTTTGGTTGTAAAAACAAGAACGGGTTTTAAGACCATATGTGACATACAGTTATTATGATGGAGTAATGTCTGTGCGCGAAGAAGAGGAGGAGACAAAAATGCAAAAAGAAGGAACCACCGGAGTGATGTCTAGTGAAGCCTGAACCATACTGTGCTTTCCCTTCTCCAGTAGCTTCCTTTGGGCTTGGCTGGGCTCCCTTCCGTGGCTTCCCACATGCCCTGCCCTTCCCTTCACGTTGAACAGGGGGAGGACACAGGACTTACCCAAAGGCAGACCCTATATTCCCAGCCTCCTAAAGTGCCCAGGAGGTGCCATGGGCACTTTTCATCAGCAGCTTCTGCCAATGAAGAAGCCCTGTGCAAGGCTCCCTACCCCCACGCCCACGGAACACTCCAGCCACAACGGCAATCACGATACACAGGTAACCTTCCTAAGGAAGAAGCGAGTTTTCAACAACTCATAGGGGCTCTGTAAAGACACGTTACATTTTCTTTTCATTTATTTTGGGCATATTGACAGCTGGTGACCTAGATTAAGAAATAACATGTGAAAAGCAGGCTGTATCACTAAATTCCTTCACAAATGGAAAGCGGATTCAATGAAAAGCTTCAGCCCAAAGATTCAAGTTAGGTACGCGGAGGGACCGGGAGAATACCCACAAGTGGGTAAAATGCAGTGTGAAAAAAATAAATAAATAAAATGATGACAAAACCTGGCTCACATCCCAGTTGATCCTGGCTACTTCGGGGACAAGAAACTGGGGACTAGAAGGGGGCAGGCACCTTGCTAACTAAGGGCTGAAGGAGCAGCGGGAGAGGACCCGTGGCTAGTGCAGGCTGAGCTGGGCTAGATATTAAAAGAAATGCAATCCTCTTACTGCACTGAGAGTGTGCATGTGCGCAGGGAGGGGCTAGAGGCAGCCACCCAGTCTCACTCAGCCTGCAGACCAGCATCCCATTCCACCCAGCTTCTAGGTCAGCAGGAAGTGGGGGGCGCCCAGCCTTCACAGAGCAAGGCAGTACATCTGACTTTCCGTAAAACAGCAAAGTGCTAGACACCCAGCGTCCCGGGGATGGAGCATCCTGCCAAGGTGGGACTGACGGAAACCGTGAAGTTCATTTTCAAGTACAGCGCTCCAGCTGCCATAGGAGCATCCTTTGCTCGGGACCTCAGGGCCCCCAAGGTCTTCGTTATAAGAAGTGTCTGGGCAGCCAGGCCAGCCTGTGCCCTATCCCGTCAGTCCCTCTCCCGCCGCTCAGGGCTGTGCGGAACGATCCTGGGATCCATGTGTGCACACCCCTGGGTGAGAAAAACAAACCACCCAACGTGGCCACGCGACTGAGGGTCTCGGGAACCAACCCGTGCAATACAGGTTTCTTAACAAAACGTCCTTCTTTGCACAAAAATGTGCAGAGAAGAACTGTTAGGCTCAGGTCACATGAACTTCTGACCTTCCAGAGGTCACTGGCGTCAGAGGGGCACCTGGAAGGGAGAGTGTGCACGCATGTAGGTATGCGCTGAACTCCAGGGCTCACTCCCCGGCCAGTCCTACGGATCCACACAGATTTGGGGGTGTCTGCTGGGCTAACGGGTTCGTTTCTGCCTGCCGCGCTCAGTGACCAGTGAATCCCCCAGGGAAAGGATAGCTGTCTGCCGCAACCTCCCGCCGGAGCCTGCGGGCGCATCCCTAGCGGTGGCTGCGGGGCGCGGGGCGCGGGCTCCGGAGGCCGATGCGCTCAGCCCGGGGTGGCGGCGACCTCCGCACCTGCTCTGCCCGCGCGGCCGCCGCCTGGAGAGCGGGCGGCGCTGCCGGCCCAGCCGCGCGGGGGGCGCGGGAACAGGAGGCTCCGCAGACCCCGCGCCCGGGGACCAGAGAGCCGGGGACCGGGGACCGGGGACCGGGTCGAGCTCCCCTGGCGCAGCGCCTCCCGCCCGCAGCGCCCGCAGCGCCCGGAGCCGCCGGGGCGCGTCGCCGCAGTCCCCGCGGGCGGCGCAGCGCAGGGCGTCCCCGCGTCCCCGCGCCCCCGGCGGCCCTGCCCCGCCGCCGCCGGGCCTCCTCCCTCCGCTGCCCGGCCGCCCGCACCGCCCGCACCGCCGCACCGCCGCCGCGTTCCGACCTTCTCCTGCGCGCGGTTGATTCGCTTCTGCACGTTCTTGGCGAAGATGCCCGTCTTGATGTCGGCCATGGCTGCCTGCGGGTCCCCGGGCTGCGAGCAGCTGGCGGAGCGGGCGCGGGGCGGCTGCGGCGGTGATGGGGAGGAGGAGGGGTGGGGGGCGGAGGAGGAGGAGGAGGAGGAGGAGGAGGAGGAGGAGGAGGAGGAGGAGGAGGAGGAGCGCGAGAGCAGGAGGAGCGGGAGGGGAGGCGCGGGAGCGGCGGCGGGAGCTCCCGGAGCGATCAGGGAGCGGCGGCGGGGACCCGGCTTAAAGCGACAGAGCCCGGCGGGAGGCGCTGGGACTGGAGGCCACCCCAGGCAGGGTGTGGAGGGGACACGGAGGAAGGGGTATGATAGTCAAAATGACCAGACAGCTCCCACCGGGATGGAGGAAGGGTTAGGAAGAGAAAGGGGGTGAAGCCAGCGACAGCCCCACAGCCTGCAGGCAGCTCAGGGATTGCTTTAAGGCGGGGTTTGGGGGGGGGGCGGGCGGTGGGAAGGGGTCCAATTCTCTCCAGGTTGGGGATGGAGGGGTGGGGGGAAGAAAGGTAAAGGCAGGGAGAGTGGGACCCCGCAGGATTGGAGCTGCTCTGCAGTGCAGGGGGCTGGGCTGGTCTCCCAGGAGTGCCCGCTGGGCCTCTCTGGCCAGGGCACCCTCACCTTCCCTGTTTGAGAAGAAGGACTGGACCTGGCCTTCCAGGGAGGCACTGCTCCGGGAGCTGCTGGGAAACCTGGCCGTGCAGGGGTCAGAGCGGCAGGAGAGAGGCAGTTAGAGGGGACCGAGAGGAGGGCCGATATTGGCGCTCATTTACTTATTTTTTATTTTTTTTAAATATTTTTTATTGATTTTTTACAGAGAGGAAGAGAGAGGGATAGAGAGTTAGAAACATCGATGAGAGAAAATCATCCATCAGCTGCCTCCTGCACACCCCCTATTGGGGATGTGCCCTCACCCAAGGTACATGCCCTTGCTCAGATCGAACCTGACGCTCTCTCCACTGAGCCAAACCGGTTTCGGCATTCATTTAAACCTTAAGACAAGACGTGGGGCCTTAGAAACCTAAAAGAGATGTACCATCCTCTACTCTATGCTTAGCAGAAATAGGATTGATGGGGATAAACTTGCCCTCCACCAACCTACAGCTCTTGAGGGCTCTGATAGTCAAACTAGTCATGTCCACAGGCGTGGCTCCGTGGGTGATATCACCTATGGGGGGGGGGGGGGGTGTCACAGTTCGGTTTGTGGTCAGAGCACATACCCGGATGGTATTCCCCAATGGAGGTTGTGTAAGAGGTAGCCGATCAATGATTCGCTCTCATCATTGATGTTTCTCTCTCTCCCTCTCTTTTCCTCTCTGAAATCAATAAAAAATATATATATATTAAAAAAACAGTCAAGCCGCCGGGACTGGTTTGGCTCAGTGGATAGAGCGTCGGCCTGCAGACTGAAAGGTCCCAGGTTCGATTCTGGTCAAGGGCATGTACCTTGGTTGTGGGCACATCCCCGGTGGGGGTGTGCAAGAGGTGGCTGGTCGATGTTTCTCTCTCATAGACATTTCTAACTCTGTCACTCTCAATTCCTTTCTGTGTAAAATCAATAAAATATATTTTTAAAAAAAACAGTCAAGCTATTCATATTCTGTTCTCTCTGAGAGTATAAGGAGAGCAAGGAAGGTTTCCTAGCAAACAGGTTAGGGTGCATCAGCCCCCTGGGAGTCCATGTGAACACCTGCACCCCTGGAACAGACTGTTACATCAGGAGCCCCCTATGATCTGCCCCTCGGGAGTCACACCTTGTGCAGTCCGCCGCTCTGATGCTAGCATGGCACTGTGACCAGCTTGACCCATAAGATCCAGTGGGATTACGCTATGCCCGTTCCAGGCCTAAGGCTAAGAAGGCAAGCAGGATTTGCACTCTGAAGAGCCCTGCACCTCCATGTAGACATTCAGCATCCCGGATATAAAAGCCCTTGAAGAGGCACTTGGGAAGGAAGAGGCCCTGAGGTTCCTTGGTCAGAGAACATGGCCCACGTGTCTCTGCATCCCAGCTGAGCTCAGCCTCCAGCGGAACCACTCGCTGAATGCAGCCATACCAATCGCCTTGAAGAAGGCGAGCAGAAAACCTGCCCTGCTGAACCCAGCCAAGAGTGCAAAATGGTGAGCAAATAAAATGGCAGCTGTTGTAAGCCGCTGACTTTTGCGGTGGTTTGTTACTGAAATACCCAGTCGATGCACTTGGCTCTTATTTCCTTAGGACAGTGGTTTTCAGCTTTTTTAATGCCACGACCCTTTAATACAGTTCTTCATGTGGTGAGCCCTGACCATACAATTATTTTCATTGCTACTTCATAACTCTGATTTTGCTACTGTTATGAATCGTAATGTAAGTATCTGTGTTTTCCAATGGTCTTAGGCGACCCACAGGTTGAGAACCGCTGCTGTAGAGCCTAAGACATCAGAAGACACAGATACTTACATTACAATTCATAACAGTAGCAAAATCACAGTTATGAAGGAGCAACGAAAATAATTGTATGGTCGAGGGTCACCACAACATGAAAAACTGTATTAAAGGGCCGCAGCATTAGGAAGGTTGAGAACCACGCCTTAGGCTGACTATTCATTCCAGTCTGCCTGGGAACGAGGGGGTTTCCAGGACCCAGGACTTTCAGTGCTAAAGCCAGGAAAGTCCCAAGCAAACTTAGATGGGTTGGTCACCTGAGTTCCAACCTTCCAAGGGAACTCCTCTCTTGGTCAGCATTCGGTAGAAAAGACTGCTCAAAAGCCAGGAATTTCAGCCAGCTCTCCCAGGCAGGGGGCTTCAGAACCTCACCTCTGCCTTGGGACGTTGGCCATGAGGATACAAGCCTCAGAATGCTGGAATATTGCAGAATGTTCTGCAGCATATGGCTTCCTAGTCACTCATTCTGTGAGCCCCAGAGCCCGCTCTGCTCCTGTGCTGGGCCTGGCTACGGCTCCCCGTGCACACGTCACTGCCCTCGCTAACAATCAAAGGGCAGAGTTCTAAGCAGTAGGTTTCCTTTTCCTCTGCTTCCTTCAGGCCCAAGCCATCAGCTCCCACTGTTCCAGCCTTTGTGTCTCCTTGCAGTTATTCCTCCAAAGATTTTTAAAACACGGTACCTATCTTTGGAAACAAAAATCACAAATGGTTAACTCATCCCTCAGATGCCCGTATCTAGTTCTGTATTGTGGGTGGAAAAGAGAAGCTTGTCATTTCTTGATAATTCTATTTGGAACACATGCTGAGCATATTAAAAACTTATTAAGTGCCAACTGTAATTGATTCATTTCCCTCCAACTGACAAGAAAACCGGCATCCCTTATTAGGTTGCCATGTGGCTTATTCTAGCCACTCTGGGACACCGACAAAGCACTCTCAGTGGTACTTACAGGAGCGCCACAAATACGCATGCACGCATGAGACTAGCTCAGGAGCATCATCCTTAGCTATTTCTTCTCCTAATTCTGCAATTCTTCTGAGGTAAGGGCTGGGGAAGGGGACCCTGACTACAATGATTGTTAAACGTTGTTATTCCGTACACTAAAGTCTTTTTCATCCAAAGTCTTGTGCAAGATCCAAATATGTTCATCAGAGGGGCCCTCCCTGGTCTTGGAGAGTGTTGGGCACCGAGTCCCACCCTCTGTTCCCTGTAGCTGTCTCTAAGGAAGAGCCTCAGAGCTGCAGAAATGAATCCCTGCGCACAGCGGGAATTCACAGGCCAGGTGACCTCAGCCAAGTGACCTTCCATCCCCAAAAGCATGCAGGACTCCGTGCTTTTGTGTGTCTTTTTCTTTATTCCAACACCTCTGGGCACGCCCAGGAATAAGACTTGTTGGCTCGTTTCTCTTCCTCCCAGTTGCCATCCACTTTTATCCACAGACAAGGAAAAATGTGCCATTCCATGTAGATTTCACTTGAATAAAATGTAACCCCCATTCTCTGCAACATCAAAGCAAGCTTAGCTGTCAAATGATAGTTAACGTTTACTCAGGTAAGGTCTGCAGAAGGCATCACAACGGCAACCCCAGATCTTCATCCAAAGCAGGACAGAATTCCTGAAATAATTTTAACTCCAATTCACCCTCCTTCTTCCTCCGTTGAACTTCAGATTTCTTAATGAGTGAAAAATGTGAATGGTGACAGGTTTGGACCATTTGGAATAAGCCCCGAATTACTATGTCATCATGAGGCTCAATTCCCATATCCTAACGGCACAGAAGATGATCACCTATCTTTGAATGTTGTAAGTCCACTTTAGGCCCTTAGGACAGAAGACTCCTCGATCCCTTTATTAATGTATCTAGCTCTTTCCTAGCACTCAAAGGAGTTACCTATACACTTTTAGTCAGCCACATATTTGTTGTTAAGTTCCAAGGGCACACTTCCAGTCATAAAAACATCACCAAACGTCAAAACAGAGACCTAAAACAGTTCTGATATGAAAAATTGAGGTAAATGGGAATTAGACATACTTTTAAGAAAGTTATTAGAAACAAGCAAGAGGATGGCTCTCCAAGCCACTTATTCCAGTTCAGAGTGGCCAGAACTGATCCCAGCAGCTCAGGGCCCCAGAAGGAGCCCTCTGAACAGGAGGCCCTTCATCACAGGCGCATGATCCACACCCATACCCCACACCCACACTCACTCAGACAGGGACCACTCAGACCCTCCAGCTCACCTCAGTGCACATCTCTTGGGTGTGGGAGGAACCAGAGTCCCCAGAGAAAACCCTTGGAGAATGTATAAACTCTACAGACAGTGACCCAGGCTGGGCATTATTTTGATTTTTCTCTCACCAACATTATAATGAAGCTGAGAGGGCAGGGCAGGGCGAGGCTAATAACAAAGCGAAATTGAATAAAACAACACTATTCCAAGACCTACTATATAGATAATTAAGGAACAATTTCATTTATTTTTTTTTTTAGTTTATTTTTTTAAAATATATTTTATTGATTTTTTTTTTTTGCCCCCCTCCCTCCCTTCCATTTCATTTAAACATTTAGATGAA